CTCTCTCTCTCTCTCTCTCTCTCTCTCTCTCTCTCTCTCTNTATATATATATATATATATATATATATATATATATATATATATATATATTTATTATTTCTCAACACGGACATTTATCATGAAAGTTCATCTGTGTTGGTAGTAATCATAGTAAAACGTTAAACTTTATTCCAACACACTATTTACAGGGATCAAATTTTCAGCGACCACTGTCGCCTTCATCATTTATATTTTAGGGTTGTCCCCTCCGTCGGTGATCACGCTAAGTAATGACTAATGACCTTATGACACCAAGGAATATGCAAGTCAGTTACGTTATCACTATATGTATATCCAAAGTAAAGCCACGTAACAAACTTAGGGACCCTCTTCGACAGTGCATTGCAAGTCCAACTTTTTCACAATATGTAAACTCGGCGTTTAATTAGAAACTTGGTCCGCCATAGCGTTGGTGTTTTTCCCGCCGACGTGCAAGTTGCTCTTGTATGTCTCTCTTGGACAGAAACATATTGAAGAAAGTCCTTCTCTAATAATGCATCACCCATTGCACGCGATACATCAAGAGCAATTATTGTAGACAAAGTCTGATCTCTTGTATATATATATATATATATATATATAAATATATATATATATATGTGTGTGTGTGTGTGTGTGTGTGTAGATTTAACCTCAACACTCTTCAATATTCAAGATCAATATTCCCACTATTGAAGTTATGTCATAGTATCTAATGTAGAAGGGCGAGCTCCAGTAGGCAGTTTGGTCGATTCATTTATGGTTTATGATAATAAACTTAAAATTTCGTCCTGTATTTAAGATATATATACCAAATATTCGTGTGTTTTTTTTCCGTTGAAGGTTTCATGCATCGTGAGATCTTTCTGGGAATCAACGCCATCTATAAAAAGTGCATGGTCGCAAAGCGGTTCATACTTTGCAGGAATCCAGGCAAGTACACGGTGTTTACCTCCTCAATATCAAAGAATGAATTGATAGATCATAATTGCATAGAAAATGTTGTTGCAACTAGAAAGCTTCAGGACCGAATACAGCATATTTCAGTCAACTGCCCTTCCCAATCCAAATGGATCATTTTGTACTGAAACTGACCAATAAACACAAATAAAACACTTTAAAAAAGTAGAAAAAAGTCCTGTATAAAAACAAAAATAAAATTAAGCAACTCTACTTCCATGCCAAATTTCAGGTCAAGTGGAAAAATTAGAGAAGTTGAATCCTTTTAACGAAAAAGTAGGAGAAGGGCAGGAAATAAAAAAAAAACCACTAGGGAAACAACATATTTCATCCATACCCATGGTATGGACTGAAATATACTCGGACATATGTTATGGTCAAATGTTCTACAACGTTGGTTTATGCATTAAGATCTAATAAACATGTGAGTTTTCATTTAATTATTACGCTTAAACAACGTTTTTTTTTAACTCAACGCATCTTGTTAGTTTTATATATAATGCGTCGATGAAGTTTAGACATCGAGGTGATAGAATACACTAGTAGTGTTACTTAGAGTCAATCGTCTTTTTTTCAGGCTGAAACCCATCGGGTTGTGGTGGATGAGGCACAGATGACATTTGAACTGGAAGTGACTAATTCAGTACCATTTGTCTGCCGACCAAATAGTGCACACTGTTTTATCGACATACCGTTCGCTTTCAATGAGAACGCTGGGGACATCGCAGCTGGAGATGCCTGTGGATTGAGACTTACTAAATCCGAATGGTCACGAGGTAATATCACAATGGTTGCTGTGAAGGATGGACAGCAGGATGGTAACAAACAGATGTACATCAACTTTGGGGTGCTCAGGATATCTCCTTTGGGCCTGTCAAATCCTCACATCTTTAATGGCTACAAACCGGATTTTGATATTCAGGTATGAAAATCACTTATAGCAAGGATAATAATCTTGGCGACTCCCCAGGGAGAACCTGATGATACATATGCGCGAACAGATAAGTTTGCAAGAATTTTATGAATTCTCTATTTGTTTAATAGAATTGTTTAGCACCGCCTCAGGGGCTTAAAGCACACATTCTATCCACTGGAATGTGCTGTTTATTTGTCTTTAAATGTTTTATGGATATTAATGATTGTGATATCTAGGTAGATTAAATGGTGATAAAGCGCACAAAATTGCTACCTACTAATTAACTAAAACCTCAATAACCTGGATACCCCTAAATGAATAACAATTTGCAAAAAAGGGTTGTGTACTATTCGGCAGCCCCAGTGTTCAATTGAGAACCATACATAAGCCTCATGTGACTAGCTGCTGTCACGTACTTGTAAATCCGGTAAACATGTGTTATACCAGCTCAACAGTAACAGTTATAGATATAGATACAAGACACATGACTATACGTACCACCTAGTTTTACATACTGTACACGGCTCAATGTTTAACCATTAACCTTCGGCATGTTTTACGTGTCTTAAAAGACGTGGTCTTTTTGGTTTTAAAGCGTATTTTTTTCGACAGGTTCAAACCATAGACACAGTTGAGGCTACATGCACATCTTCTGGAGACCCTCACATCGTCATGTTTGATTCAGTGAGGTAAATAATATATGTGTGTGTGTGTGTGTGTGTGTGTATAAATATATATATATATATGCGAGAGATCATGTATGTGTATGTGCGCATGTAAAAAAAACTGAAACGTACTGCTAGATTGTACCTATATTCAGTATTGGATTGTACTCAAATGCAGTGTATCACTTAGGATTGGACGAACTGATCAGCTTGTAATTGTACAAAAAATCCTTGTCACTGGTAGTCGGATCTGTATGTATATGCTCTAAACTGCAAATAACGTAAAAAAAAAGGTAACCATTGTTGTATTTGTTAATATTTTGTGCGTGGTAACCCCATCTTCCCAAATAGCTGCTTTAAAAGTTAAGAGTCACTTGTAAGTGCTATGTACAGCAGCTTTCATAATGAAAATGTTTTCTCAATTCACATCGCAATCAAAGGGGAAGCTATTCAAAAACGCACACTGCAAAAAATGCATTTTCTTGTTTTTCTTGTTTCTTCTTCCAGAAAGAAAAAAATCCTTCAGGGAAGAAAACTTTCTTCGTGTAAGAAAAAGATTTTGTCCACGAATTAAGAAGTTTTTTCTTAGAATTTTTTTCTTATAGAGTTTTTCTTGTAGTGAGAATATCTTCCTTATCGGTTTCTAATATTCATGTAGCTGGATTGTAGAATGATATTCTTGCATTAAGATTTATATTCTCGTTCCAAGAACGTAATTCTTGGAAATTAAGAATTAGGATCTTAAATACATGTATTCCATATGAAAGTACTTCTTACCTTTAAGGAAGCCTTTCTTGCTTCTAAGATTTAAGTTCTTATAGTAAGAATACCTTTCTCTACAGAATTAAGACTCTTGTGCCCAGAAAAGGCTTCTTGCTTTTAAGGTAGAAATTCTTAACATATTAAGAATATCTTTCTCACCAGAGGCCCAGGATTCTTGATCCCAGAAAGTTTTTCTTGATTTTGATATTGACATTTTCAGACGATAACTAAGAATATTTTTCTCACCCGAAGATGAAGACTCTTATTTTTAACAGAATTTTTTTTCTTACTTTGAAGATTGACATTCCAATAATAAGAATATCGTTCTTATCTCAAGACTAAAAATCTTGCCTATACCAGAAAATTTTCTTGCCTTTAAGATTAACATTCTCAGAATATCTTTCTTATCTTGAGACCAAAATTCTTATTTCTACCAGGAAGTATTTCTTGCTTTAAGATTAGCATTCTTATACTAAGAATCTTTCTTAACTCAAAAAAACGAAATTCCTTCATCTGTTAGAAACTTTTTATTGCTTTCAAGATTAACATTCTTACATGGAAATTAAGAATAATTTTCTCTACCCAAGACGGAACTTCTTATTTCTACTAGAAAGAGTTTCTTGCATTCAAGATTAACATTCTTAAACTAAGAATATTTTTCTTACCCAAAGATGAAAATTCTTCCTTTTACTAGAAAGAGTTTCTTGCTTTTAAGATTAACATTCTCATACCAAGAATATCTTTCTCACCTCAAGACCACAATTCTTGTTTCTACTAGAAAGTTTTTCTTGCTTTTAAGATTAACATTCTTGTACTAAGAACACCATTCTTACCACAAGACAAAAATTCTTATTTCTAGAAATGTTTTCTTGCTGTTAAGAACATATTTCTTACCAGAAGACCAAGTTTCTTGATCCTAGAAAGTTTTTCTTGCTTTTAAGATTAAAATTCTTATACAAAGAATATGTTTCTTACCAAAGTTCTTATCAAGACCAAAATTCCCATTACTAAAACTTTTTTTCTAGCTTTTAATATAAGATTAACATTCTTGTACTAAGAATACCATTCTTACCAGAAGACCAAATTTCTTATTTCTTAATGTTTTCTTGTTAAGAAAAACATTCTTATGCTATTTCTTACCAGGAGACCAAGTTTAGTTTCTTGATCCAAGAAAGTTTCTCTTGCTTTAAAGATTAACATCCATCATCATCATCCATACACTTACAATAATAAACATAAGATTATCTTTAACAAGATCTGATTACAAAACTTGTTGGACTTTTAATCATCTTGGTAGACATGCTATGTTAGTCTGTTCAGTCCCAGCTTGGAAGTTGTTAGCATTTCTCCCTACACAAAGAAAACCTCATCATTGGCAAGGTCACAATCCTCCCGCATCTGGAAAAAAAAGTTTGAAGAAAAAATGATGCCATTATTACTGTCACAAGTAAACACACATTGTGCCTGAGGCAGTGATGCGAAATAAATGCTAAATAAAGATATCATTCTGTTACTTATGAAAATATATGTTTACCACCAGATAAAAATAAAAACTGTGTTACTGCTGTAAGAGTATTTCAGAATTAACCCTGCAGCGAGGGAATGTAATCTCCCAATGACCTTTATGTCATGGGCAAATAGCTGGTAGCTTTTAACATATAAGCTCCTAAGTTACAGGGAAAAATATTGTGTTTTTAACTGAACCAAATTTAAAGAGGCTAAATTGTTATTTTAAAATCCTAGTTAATGATTTTCATGCTTGTTTTTTGTACCTAAACCGATCAGGAACCCTTTTTGACGTCTTTTTACCTAGGGGGGAGGGGGGTGCGAAAGCACTTACCTTGTATATATAAAAAAATCCAGCATTTCCGTTCCAAACTTGGTTCTTTCTGCAGCCTGACAGCAATCTCCATTGCCTCTGTTGTCCAAGATCCCCTGTACCCTGTTTTCGACTTTGAAACTGATCCGAATCATTTGATAGAAACAGAAGTTAACAGCACCAGCATCTTCCACGAACTGAACTCTGTCTCCTGCATGAGCAACTGTCATCTGGGATATGAATCCACCAATCAGGGGCTTACAACAAAGATCACATGACAAATGCTGCCATTGGTCAAACTTTATATTGAGTTCAAACCAGAAAGTATTTCTTGTATTTTCTTGAACATAAACAAGAAAAACAAGAATTGCCTTTCTGAAAGTTTCTTTACAATGAAAAAGAAGACTGGTATTCTAATCATGACTTGAACATGTCTTATACCTAAAATATCTTGATTTTCTAGATTTTCTTTGTGGTATATCTCAAGAAAGGCAAGAAACAACTTCTTGAATTTTCTTAACATTGCCAAGAAAACTGAGAAGTACCTTTCTTAGAGTTTCTACATCAGAAAAACAAGAACATTTAAGAATGTAATTCTAGTGTTACGTGTTTAGCATGATCTTGATTTTTCTTATTTTCCTTACCTGAAGAAAATACAAGAAAGAAACAGCTTCTTGTATTTTCTTAAACATTACCAAGAAAACTCAGAAATGCCTCTCTTAAGTTTCTAGATAAGAAAAACAAGAATATATAAGAATGTTATTCTAACCATTACTTGTTTTTTGATATCTTGATTTTCTTCCTTTTTCTTATCAGAAGAAATACAAGAAAGGGCAGAAATAAATTCTAGTATTTCTTAGAACAGTCAAGAAAAACAATCTTGCTAGACAAGAAGATCAAGAAATTCAAACTTGAAATTCTAGAAATTCTTGAAGGCAATTACAGTTTTTAGAAATAATTTCTTCACTGAAGAAAAATGAGAAAAAAGTTCTTCGTGGGAGAATTCACTTGAAGAAATTTTTTCTTACTCATCCGTCTTCAGTCTTAAAATTTCTTTGTGTAAGAAAATTTGTCCACGAATTAAGAAAATATTTATTATTAAGAAAAACAAGAAAAAACATTTTTTGTAGTGCACAATAGACGACGGATACCAGACTTTAATTGATGGAGGTACGTAGAACAAGCATGGTCTTTGAAACTAATGTTGACGCATTTTAATTTTAATAGTGGTGCTTGGAACAAACAGGCCCATGTTATCCTGCCAGGAGAGTTTGTCTTCTATAGAAGCACGGCTGCAGATCGCACATTTGAGGTAAGTATATTCGATCATAGAAAAACTATAAAGTATATTTATCAAATCATCTCCGCATCATTTACTGTATTACTATAAAACTAAGGCAATCCTCCCCTGTAATGCTGTATGAGAGAAATAACAGAAAGGGCAAGATAAATTATTTGCCTTTTTAAAGTCAAGCTATTTTTCCTGGGGTCAACATAAAGTCACACCGACTTCATTTCATGGACGACATCCTCGCGCGCATTGATTTTCGCCTGTTCTCTAAGAAAAAAATCACGTCCTCCGAGGCACTGGCTTGGCTCTGGCCTGGGTGCCGGGTGATAGTTAGCAACAATATGGAACTGGTGGTAACTACGGAGGCTGGCACCCAGGCTACCGAACCTTCACAATAAAAAAAAACTCAGTACAAACGTACAGTGCCTACTCAATTGCAAAATTCCGCAAAAAGCCAGCATGTGTCGGCTTGTCGTATACGTCGCTATGTACTGCCGTAAATTCACAGTACCAGCTTTGTATTTCTGTGGTTTAGTAGTATTTTTATTTTTGGCCCGATTTTTTATTCGCCCGCGAGCACTAGTTTTGGGGGTCTTTAGAGGATGTTATCCATAAACTTAAATCGGTGAGGCCTAAAATAATAAAATGAAACATGAATAACAATATGTATAACACTGTTGTTAAAACTGCATTTTTGACACTTTGTAGCAAAACATCTCCTTGTAATTGTAATAGGACTAGCCATTTTTCATATTATACATGGTATATTCATCCATGGTATATCTATATGTAACACAAAATATGTGTCTTCATGTTGCTTGCACTTTGGGTTGAAATACCAGCTTTCAGTTGCCATTTTGTCCAAAAAATGTGTAACGTTTGTCTCCGTAGAAATGTACAAAATGGCTAATTAGCCGGAATACAAATGCCATGGGAACATATAAACTTAATATCTTGAAACATTTAAATATGGTGGGCATACGAATCCACTTTAAAATGGTAAATAAACAAAATGGTCAAGTTGTAGTGTCTGTAGAGATTGAATATCATATAAGCAAAATGTATAAGTGTAATTATATTTTTGTAACAATGATGTAGTTTTCAAACACATTTGTCCCCTCTTAATCTTGTAACGTCATTTCACATTTGAAACAAACTGTTGGATGATAAAACGAGTACTGTTGTTATGTGCCTAATGAGCTGTAGTGTCGGTATAGTGCCCATTGTAAAGTAATGCACTAAAGTTTGAAGTACCGCAACTTTTTAACCGCTCATCGCTATCAAAAAATTCAAAAAGCACCATACGTGGCATCACTTGTAGTACAATTTTCTGTACCGAAACAGAAAAATGTGCAACTTGAAAAATTTCAACACCCTGGTACATCCTGGACTTGGGATAGCCGTTAGCACTTAAACTCAAGAAGATGTGGATAGATTGTGATGAAAGTTAGTCGGCGCGTAGGCATAGGTACTAATGAGAGTTAAAGAGATACCTCTATGATTCGTTACTTATGTAGGCTAGCACAACTTAACGAATGTACGAGGTTGTGGAACACTTTTTTTACCTATAAACTTTTAGGTGCAATCACGTCACAAACGGTGCAGTGGGGAAATCTCCTGTAACTGTGGTGTAGCTGTTCGAGAGGGGAACGATGCTGTGATCATAGATAAGTGCCACAACATCTACGGTGCTGCAAGTGTCCGGTACCTGACTGCAAACGATAATGGTGAACTTTCACCAGGATTTATTGTAGAGAGAGACGGCAATGGGAAACAATTCAAGGTAGGTGTTTTTTACGAGTTTGCAATTGATAAATCTAAATCATTAACCTTACTTATTCTGACATTATGAATGAAGTAAGGAAATAAAATACTGATGGAATGTTATGTCACAGTAAAATTTGACACCTAACATTTATGTTAATGAAGATCATTACTATTTCATTTAAGTCATCAACTTGTATGAATGGCCATAGAATCCAATATTCTATGCATCAAAAGAAATGTTGAGTTGATATTTCATTCATCCCAAATTAAGGTCAGCTTTGTTTACCACAGGTGATTATGCCATCTGGAGCCTTCGTCGAGGCGACAGGATCTAGCTGGATGACCATAAGCGCCCATGCGCCGGGGGTGGACAAGGGGCACACGGAGGGAATCTGTGGATTTTTCGACGGTGACCCTGACAATGACCTGAGGATGCCTGACGGAACTACAGCTAGTCACCACATCTGGCCGGACTGGCACAGAGACTTCTCTCACGCCTGGCGGTAAGTAAAATGTGTTGAATTATCTTAAAGGAGTACTAACCTCCAGAAGGAGGTGCTATATTCCGACAGGCATTAATTTTAGGAAGTGAAAAATGCATATTACTTTACAGTATACAATTAAATGTCAATTTTGCGAGCAAGTCTTTAAACGCATCGAATCCGGGACAAACTCTCCAAATATCCTCAAAACTATCCCACGCTTCCCCATTGGTGTCTATGTTTTAAAGAAAAAGTTGCGTTACAGACCTAATTTCGGGGGCGATAAGAAAAATTCGTACCGTTTTGTGTTCTTTGGTATCTTACCAACAATTGCCCTTCTTGATATCCTTATCGCCCCTCATTTATGCCGAAAATATTGACGATGAAAAGAACGGCATAATCTAGTTATCTTTTCCATAAGTGGCGTAATCTAATTATCTGTTCAATTAATACTTACATGCAAATAAGTTGAGAAAATCAAAACACGCAGGATGAAACTAGCACCCACTCCATTAGACATCATAATATTATAGTATCCAAACCACAGGTCAATCAAAGTAAAGCAAGTAATTTCTCAAGAATCAGCATGCCTCCTACCATTTTCGCCGAAAAATATTTATGTTGACCTGAAGTGTATGAGTATTGCGTAAGCCAGAGTTCCCGGATGTATCGATTGTGGTTCAGCATGGGGGGAAATGATATTGATATCGCTTTACAAACATGCGCCGCGCAAGTCGTACAAGCGAAATTATGTAAAAAGTCGGCTAGTTATGTATTCATTGTAGCAGGATGTATCGGAAAATAGCACTTCCTTCTGGAGGTTAGTACTCCTTTAAGCAGGAGTCACATGTTCTCGGTGTAGACGCCAGCCGGTGTCATGAAGCCGAGCGTGTGCCGGCTGTCAGGGTCACAATTAAATGATCCTTTACGGCTCCCTGTCGGGATGCTGAGGCGGCTTCTATTTAAAATTCACAAACTTTTGGTCCCTTTGACGGCCGGTTTCTGTTAGGGACCCGTCCGGTGCCCGGTCAGCCTCCTGTCTTGGCCCGTGCGGGATACGGTAGGGTTTCGACCGGCTCTTGCATTCCGGACGGGCAGCTACAGGGTCCCTAGCGGGATCCAGGGGCAATCCTGGCGGGTCCCAGGCTGGTACGCCCCTGGCTGGTATGGTGGATTCGCCCCTGGTTGATGCGCAGACCCGATGATATGCCATATGGTCACTACGACTCACTGATGATGGAGATATGTCGAGAACATCACAATATCCTCTATAACCACTTCTGAACAATTGAAGCACAGATCAGCACACGTGACGTCATAATCTTGGACAGGTGTCTGTGTGGCCGCCTGGCGGGACCCGGCGGCTAGGTTACGGCTTGGTCCGGTGAGGTTACGGCGTCGCTTCGGCGTACCTTGCCCAACGGATTTTAAGTTTGAGTTAAAATCAATTCGGCGACCGCGCGGGGCCCAAAATAGGCCGGCAGCCGTCGGGAACCCCGCCGGTCTCCGCCCAGGTCCCGTTCGGTAGTGCCAAAAACAGGCCGAAACGCGCCGAGCGGTCCCCTTTTTTCAATTGTGACCTAGTCTTTACAGTGTATTCGTAACATGTATGACTGGTGAAGTTAAGCTTCGAGAACCCGCAATCGAGGCAACACTGCCAAAAATTTTTTGGCGCGTGTAAGCCTGTATCGTTTTAATCTCATAATTACCTTCGCCAAGGTTATGTTTTCAGAGGCGTTCGTGTGCGTGACCGTGTGTCTGTAAACACGATAACTTGAGAAGGCTTAAGTCTTGATATTTTTTATTGGTAGGTTGGTAGGTCTTGATGAGGCCTAAAAGGGATTGGATTTTGCACCCCCTAGTGGCTTGTTAGGGTACTGCAGCTGAACTTCCGGTTTTGATATCTCATGATCTAGACATGATATGGTCACGAAATTTAGATGCTAGGTAGCTCTTATAATATACAAAACAGGATACTTAGTAACTCAAGAACCGGTAAGCTGATCGTCGTGATTTTTGGTATGTAGGTAGCTTACTTGATACTTGACATAATTATGTGGCAGTTATGCAAATATGGGTGTAATTTGCACAAAATATGAGGAAATTATATAAATCAGGTGCATTACATGACGGGACATTTTAAGCTTGTGGAATATATAATTGAGAAGAATTAATGAGAAAATGTTACAATTTAACAATGGTTAGTGCCTGGAATTTTATACTTGGGGCATTCGAAAGTTAAGTCAAAGTGAACATCATCAAACATAACTTATTCAAAAAACAGTCTCATTTGCATAATAATTAATTATGAAATGCTACAATGCTACAAAAATTCTTTGTTAAGATAAGACAGTCTTTTGTTTGAAGATATGATCAACTGTTATAATTCATTGAAATGGAATCCTATTTGCATAATCAGGGGGAATAAGCTATAATTTGTCAGTCATAAAGATTGACATCATTTGGCAAAGCAAATGAATCATGGAACGCTAGTTTTCTCATGTTTTCATCCGCTCTTAACTGGAAAAATCTTTATCACTTAAGTCTCTTGTTGCGTCCAATTAACTGGTGAAATAAACAAAACAATGGCCTAAGTAGGGAACTTCAGCTCGTACCTGTGTCTTCTAGCTCAAAAGTCTTTAAATAAATATCCAATAGAAAAAAGGTTTTCAAAGATATTAACTAGGGACAATTTTGGAGCCTCTGCATACTGAGCAACGCAAAAGTGACGTCTGCCTGGTACGCATAAAGTTGCTGGTGGGGGCTTTCTTAAACAATTATGTTCATTAAATCATCATCATTATTGAATAATTCTAGTATTCTTTTGAGATGATAATGTGTTTTTCTGTCATAACTACAGTAAAACTAGTGTGTACATTTTATAAGTACCATAGCTAATGCGATGTTGCACATCTGACTATACTGTATTGCTTTCACAAATGTGTCGTTGTTTTATATAGAATAACACCAGGAACAAGCCTTTTTGACGTAGACTGCTTGGAGGAAGTGGGCAATGGTATTGCGGGCGTGAGGTTTTGTGAATGCCCTACCGGTGGAAATGCGCTTTGTGACTTTACAAAAACACGCAGAGTCAGCAGCAGGTACAGACCATTTGCACCTCCCCAATCAGCAAGAAACCGCAACTGCCACAGGAGGAGGAGAAACGTGAAAAACATCGAGGACGATCCACTGCTCTATAATGATGACGTGGACCTTACTGACTACGTGTTTGACTATGGAGAAGGCTCTAATCCTGTTGTCAACAGCGTTTGGCCAACTCCTAATAAAGGAATCACAGAGCAGGACGCGAGATCTGCGTGTCAGGGAGCCATTATGAACCTGACTATCGCCCAAAGCTGCAGGGACATTTACAATGTCGACATCTTCTCAGGCGTGGACTTCTGTATGGCTGATATAAAGGTGAGAATCGCACAGTTACTGAATACCCGAAATTGTTAAAATATTTACCGTAAAATAAGATTTGCCTGGTTTTGATCCCATACCTTAATTATAGAATACTTACAATTATTAAGCGTTACTGTTCTGAGGCGATAACACAACAAAGAACAGATTGTTTGACATGGCTGTTGTCACAAATAGGCATTTGATTTAAAAAGCATGGCTGACCTTTTATATTATGGCGCTCGTCTTCAAAATCCTCTATGAATGTGGCTGCTGTTTTCTATACTAAAAGATTTTAATTGGTGACTCCAGGGCTTTCCTTTTTCTCCTTTTTTATTGTTAGACGATGATATTGCTGTATGAGCATGCGAAGCTAGGCAGAGTCGCACTCTCTAAATTTATTCCGGGTTTATTTGCACATTTGTTCCCCAAGCTTTATGCGAACTGCAAAGACAAAAGTGAAACACACATAAATATTAAACTGTATACAGAAAATGTATCTTTGTATAATGTTTATTGTAGGTCACAGAAGAATTCGACTACGTAGACATCATAGTGCAGCAGATCCAGGCAGATTGCGCAGAAAAAGCCTACAAGGAGGTCAGTCTGTACGAAACCAATGAAGACGGCACGGCAGTACCCCCAACCTTCATCACGGCAAACCTGTGTCCACGTCAGTGTAGCAACAACGGCCAGTGTGTGAACGGTACCTGTAAGTGTAACGAGGCATACGTGTCGGAAGACTGCTCCATCCAAGTTGGCAGGCCTCCCGTTGCTCTCGCTCTCCCCGCCGAGGGTCTCTGTGACGTCCGGACACGTCCCTGTATGAAAACCTCGTTCTTTGCTGAGGGACTGATGGATTCTGAGAATCTCACCTGTAGAGTAACTCACGTCAAGGTAAAACACTTTGCTCATCACGAGCACGCACACGAAAAAAAAAACAGAAAAATGAGAAAAGAGAATGCACAATGTGTTTTCATTGACATTTAATGTCGTGTTACGTGATTTATCACTAACTAATTTAATCTTAACTTCTTCACTATAACACTTTTAAAACAGTACAGTGAAGCCACTTTGTTTGTTTGAGCCTTTGTCAATTTTTGAAAAATTTATTTAGACAATGCGGGAAGATGTCAGGGCCAGAAAAATGTAACATCATGTGGGTTTGAGTCCTGCCAAGTAAAAATAAAACATGTAGCTGTAAAGAAAACAGACTAATCAGTAAACTCGTTCTTTTTTTTTCCAGATTGAAGATGGGCAAAAGATTCCTGAAACCTCTAGCGGCAGGTCTGGAGCAGAGTTCAGGAGTTTTGGGGAGGTGGCATGTATCCTTCCCCGGTCACCTGTACGTTACGGAACACCTGCTACTAACGAAGGCGCAGTGGCTCATGGGATGCTGGTCTCCGTCAGTAACGATGGAGAACGGTTCAGTGGGGAGTTGTTCTTCACGGTGTACGACTCTGTCTGTCAGGAGTGTACTGAAGGAGGTGACTGCCTGTGGAAGGTATTTTTTCTGAAATTCGTGATATTTTTTCTCTAGTTATTTTTGAAGACATGTTAATAATGTGCATAATTTTGCAAAGCTGAAACTTGATAGATAATAGTTTTGTTTTTGCAAAGGTCAGGACGAAGTAATATACGATATTCCTTCCAAATATTCAATTTGAAACGTCCTATACATTAGACAGAAGAATCTTTTAATTACAGCAAAACACGTGCAACATCCGAGGACACTGCTTTGGGGATGAGGAACCAGATCCCAACAACTGGTGTCTACAATGTCTGCCTCAATTTTCAAACACGACCTGGTCCAACAGGCAAAGTGAGTCACCAAACTATTTGTCAGAGAAAAATACTTTGAAGCAAAGTAGCAAGGTAGCAAAATACACAGATTACGTTATTATTAGAAAATTAAAAAAGATATGCTGTTCATATAGAGTAAAGCAGACTAAAAAGATTTGGATATGAAGTAATGTATGTGGCTTTATAGAATGGACACTTAATTTTGAAATTGTTTAAATTTGCCATCTAGCTGCTCACTTTAATATATGGCGATGTATGGTCTTAAAACAGATAACAGCCCACCGTCTTTCACCACCTCATCGACCATCACAAAGCTTCCCGATGAAAACCTGACCATGGCCCTGAGCGCTGTAGACCCAGAAGGCAGACCTTTGACCTTTAGTCTCGTGACATCAGGAGATCCAGGCGTTACTGTGAAGCCAGACGGCATGCTGACGTGGATAGGAGACTTCACAACAACGTTCGACATCAGCATCACTGTTCAGGATGAGTGTGGTTCATCAGCAGAGCAGACGTTTCAGCTGACGACCACAACGTGTGACTGCCAAAATGGAGGACTGTGTGTTCCTGATCCCGACGAGCCTCGCGGCCAAGGCTACTACAGCTGTGTCTGTCCAGGGTACACCGGGCAACTGTGCGAAACAGAAATTGACGAATGTCAATCAAACCCATGTTCAAACGGAACCTGTATTGACTATGTGAATGGCTACAACTGCACCTGCGCGGAAGGATACATTGGTATTAATTGTGATGTGAGTGTTAATAATAAATGTGCCCTGGAGCCATGCTTCCCAGGGGTCTCTTGTGTTAACCTGCAGGACGGAGGTTACCAGTGTGGTAGATGCCCTCCTGGCTTCCTCGGCAACGGATTTGAGTGTGAAGGTAATGATGTACTTTTAAGGAATGAAAATCGCTTTCTCAAATCATAATGTCAATACTGATGGCCGTATCTTTCAATGCATTAGTCTGTCATACGTTATCCCTATCATATTCTTACCATGTAAATTTACACGAATCAATAAAATATTCATGATTTTCTCCTCACAGATATAAACGAATGTGATCTGATTAACCACGGCTGTCCACATCTTTGCGAGAATCTACCGGGAACGTACGAGTGTACCTGTCCAGAAGGACTATCACCGGTTGGTGATCTTTGCACGGGTGAGCCTCAAGATTCAATTCTACGTTTGCTATTTTGAAAGGATTTTGATGGGGTAGCATTATGCTGAAGTTCGTATCATTAAGGTATTGACTTCGTCAACGTAATGCAAAAGTATTTAGAGACTGTACTTTGATATTTATCTGATTTTGGTCAATGAATTTAAATTTTTAATAGATTTGGATGAATGCAAGTTGGAGCTGGATGACTGCTCCCATATTTGCACAAACACCAACGGATCCTACACCTGCGGATGTCCACCCGGTTATGTACTTGGTACTGATGCAAGAGCGTGTGAAGGTAAATCTTTCTTTTGACCTTTTTTTCTAGAATCAAATATACTACATGCGTTTGGCACAAATGAATTTGCATGTAATATATCGAGATGAGTATTACAGAATAAAAGAAAGCTAAAGCAGGCAAATTCATACTGATGTACTTTTTCAGAGGTCAATGAATGCACCAGCTCGCCTTGCCAACATGGAGGTCGTTGTCAAGATGACGTCAACCAGTACAGCTGTTCTTGCACCCATGGTTGGACCGGATCGCATTGTCAAGATGGTAAATACTAACTATTTACCATGTTTAATTTTTTTCCGTCAAGTGGGTGTTTTCAATATCGTTTGATTGTCCGTTTCCCTATTTGTCTGTTTGTGACTAGCATAACTCAAAGAGGTATGAATATAATCCAATGATATATAGTGTGTGGATAGGATGACCTCAAATTTGAAAATGATTACACTTGGGACCCCTGGGCGCTCTTTTGTAATGTATCAGTTGTGTTTTTGTGTTTCTTCTGAACATACTGTTGTCATGATTTTTCTCTGGTAAAAGCTTTTGGGCCAAGGAGGAAGAGAGATGAGAGAAAGGTCTGGTCCCCCTAGCAGCTTTTATTAAAAGTACAGCGACGTTTAAGAATCAGAATAGCTTGGCAGGAGCAGAATATCTAAAACGGATCTCCATGATTTTTACTGGTAAATAAATAATTTGGGTGCATAGGAACAAACAACACATTAATATATTAATGTGTTGTTGCCTAAGAAAGGGGACTTGCGCCGCCCAGATAATTATAGAGGTATTTCACTGTCACAAATTGCATCCAAAATTTATAACCGTTGTTTGCTCAATAGGATTCGTCCAGTTATCGACAAAGTGTTACGCACAAACCAAAATGGCTTCCGTCAAGGTAGATCAACTACTTCTCACATTCTCGCGCTCAGACGCATTGTAGAAGAGTTGAGAAACTTTGACCAAGAGGCAGTACTTGTGTTTATCGATTTCCGCAAGGCATTCGATTCGATTAATCGCCACAAAATGTTTCATATCTTGGAAGCGTACGGGATTCCGCTGGATGTCGTCAGCGCTATTCGAGTCATGTACGAGGATACCAGTGCTGTGGTTATTACTCCTGAGGGAGAAACCGATGAATTTAGCATTAACACTGGAGTCCTGCAGGGGGATCCTTTGGCCCCTTTCCTTTTTGTTATTTGCCTCGACTATGCGCTCCGGTCTTCGATTTCAGAATTAGACGGGCTTACTCTCCGTCGTCGTCGGAGCCGACGATACCCAGCTGAAACCCTCCCAGACCTTGATTTTGCTGATGATATTGCTTTATTGGAAAACTCAATAAAATATGCACAAAATCTTCTCACAAAAGTTGAAACTTCATGTCAAAAAATAGGTTTATACTTGAATGCTTCCAAGACAAAGTTCATGCATCTAAACCCTAGTACTGACAGTTTACTTTTTGCCACTGATGGCACTGAAATCGAATGTGTTGCGGATTTCAAATACTTAGGGGGGTACTCTGATAGTGTTCATGACATGGATATGCGGATCGCACAGGCATGGAGTGCTCTTCACTCATTACATAAGATTTGGAAAGCGCCCATTAGAAAACAAACTAAGATCAAAGTGTTTAAGGCATGTATTGAAACAATTCTTTTGTATGGGTCAGAATCATGGGTCATGAATATGTCACATTCTAGAAAACTAAACGGAACATACACGAAGATGTTGCGAGTGGTTTTCAATACACCATGGTGGAAACACACTACTAATGAACAGTTATACGGTTCGCTACCAAATGTAACTTCAGTAGTCAAATGTCGACGACTAAGCTTGGCCGGTCATGTAATACGTAGTGAAGAACCAGCCAGTAGGCTTCTACTCTGGAACCCTGATACCTGTAAGAGAAGAGTTGGACGCCCAAAGATAACAGTTAAGAAACGTATTGAAACTGAAACTGGCTTGGAGGGACATGAACTTTTCTCAGTGATGTATGACAGACAGTTGTGGCGAACTAACTTTGTATGCTCCACCTCTACGGAGGATGAATGATGATGATGATGATGATGTTGTTGCCTCATTTGCTTATAATTAATTAATGGAAAATTGCTGTAATGTAAATGATAGAAGGGTAGTACGAGGACTGTTCGTTACAGTAAACTTCGATGAAGATGACAATTTTCATATATGAATTATGTTAATTAGAGCTTAATTTGAATACTTATTATTGAAAGTTTGTATTTGATGACTGATGACGAAGGTGTATGGCCGCGGAACTTTGGTATATTAATCGTTTTTATGAATTACTTACAGAAAATATTGCATTTGATTTGATTTGTAATGTTGCATTTTGTCATTTTCTTCAGATGTGGATGAATGTTACCTGATAAATCACGGTTGTGAGTACCAGTGCCAAAACACACCGGGCAGTTATGTCTGTGTATGTCCAGAGGGATACACTCTTGACGACGATGGTAAATCGTGTGAAGGTGGGAATAAGTTGGTGTTTGGCGTTTATATTATACTAATATTACACAAACACACACGTACACATATTTGTGTATGTGTGTGTGTGTGTGTGTGTGTGTGTGTGTGTGTGTGTGTGTGTGTGTGTGTGTGTGTGTGTGTGTGTGTGTGTGTGTGTGTGTGTGTGTGTGTGTGTGTGTGTGTGTGTGTGTGTGTGTGTGTGTGTGTGTGTGTACATGTTCGCGCCTTTTTTCTGTATTATGGTCGCACACCCTAGACCCACCACACACACACAAACACAACGAAAGTGGACGTCAATTGTCTCTTTAAAACGCCACGATTGTTATCTTGAATAATAATAATAATAATAATAATAATAATAATAATAATAATAATAATAATAATAATAATAATAATAATAATAATAATAATAATAATAATAATAATAATAATAATAATAATAATAATAATAATAATAATAATAATAATAATAATAATAATAATAATAATAATAATAATAATAATAATAATAATAATAATAATAATACAAGTCCACCTGTCACCTCTTGCTAGGTCCAGATGCAACAACATCACACCCAGAAGCAATAACTTCCTCCGGTGCGTATATTCTTAAATTGATTACTGACATTTTTAATGTTGTAAAAATGATAATAATCTCAGCACCATAATTATTTTTTAGCTATTCACACATATTTAACGAGTATCAGGTGAAAAGCACAACTGATTATCAACAATTGTAACTTTTGTCTAAACGAACGTATTTTGACGGTTAGAATCTTAGCTTTTTTCGAATGAAGGTCCACAGCGATAGCAAGCATACCACGGTCTGGAAATAACATTATCAATTTCCCTTGACCTGTGCTATGATATTTGCTCTGATGTTGTTGTTTTTTTCTAACGTTGGTTAATATTCAAAAATGCATTGATAGTAATGTCAATTATTACATGGTTTGTTTCGATCTAAAAAAATACATATATAATGGCGTTTTGATTGAGTTATCCATGAATTTGTCGTATTGCTCTACACTAGCTAAAATACGCTACATTGTTAAAAAAAGGGGTATGGAACAATGATTAGCTCTCTTCTCTTTCTCCCCCTCTCCCTGCCTCTCTCTCTCTCTCTCTCGATCTCTCTATCTGTAATGTAATGCAATGTGTAGTAAAGTCACCACCAGTATTGTAGTATAAAAGGGTATTATCACAGCCTTTTATCTTTCTTACTTACTCAGAGCCTTACCGACTGGAGACAACAGTAAGTCAGGGGTGGAATACACCACTTCCTGAGAAACCTGACTCAACGGATGTGACAGGTAGTGCCACCGTGTGTTCCTCAGCATATTATTTATATTTACACAGCAAGTCCACAGCAAGTAAATTCTATGGATGACATCCTTCGCAGACTCCAAATATCTTTCCTATTTTCAGCATGTTGACCATTGTCAGATGCAACCATTTTTTCTCCAAAATCAGGCCAAAATTGCGCGCGCTGATGTAATCAATAAAAATTACTTGCTGTGGCCTTACAGCTATAAAATGTTTATTAGGTGGGCCAGGAGCCTGTAATTGTAGTCGATTATGTACATGTTTTAATGTGTCCGTATGATCCTCTGCGTAGGATGCGTGGGTCGATTGCCTTGATACTTGTTTTATCATGAAGACTTGTTGAATAAAATTCACAGTCCAAGCTGCTACGAAGCTACTCTTGTTACGATTGAAGTAGGGAGTAAGAGGTGGGTAAGTGGGGAAAACACCTGTAAGTTAAAATCCCTAATAAGTGTTGTTAACCACAAGGACAGGGAAGTACTACACCAGAAAAGCATGCTGGGAAAATGTGCAATACGTACTTCGTATGTCATATACTGTGCAAGAAATACTGTTGGTTGGGAATAACCTTTGGGACTGTTCTCATGCTGTAAGTAGGTTGCTACACGATCGAAGAAGTGTAATAGTCAAACAGTGCAATATGTTAATATGCATCTTTTATTATGTTGATTAGACGTAATGATTTTATGAACTGCAGTCTTGGCGTCAAAATAATTGAGCACGTACACTTACCTTGCGTCTCCGTAACTTATACATATATATTTCTTTTTTTTTCATATTATCGCATCTGACGTTTTCACGCAAGAGAGGTCTATTTATTTTGTACATACATTTTGTGTATACAACATAAGCAAAGTGTGATTTTTTTTACACAGAAGCTCTGAAGCCAGAGGTCACCAGTACTTTCCTTACAACAACACGACTACATTCGGAGCACCATACTGAAGGCATTAATGGTATTTATGACGTATGGATTGAGGTCTAAAGAGGCTTTAGTCAATGTATCAATACTCTCTCTTAGTTTAGATCCTAAAAGGGCTACATTTTACGGGTGATAGCTTTTCTGTAAGCTTTCTTTTTTCTCTAAAGCCACGAATGCGTTTCTACAGAACTCTGAGCTTTTGGTCTATCTGTCTCTTTCTCCTGGTTGCCTCAAAGACCTAGTTCTCCCCCACTTTACAATCTATTCATGTCTGCCTGTGTGAGTTTGTCTTTTTGTGTTAGTGCATTTCATGTGATACTTGTTTTACTCGTACTTAATGTCGAATTTACAAATCATTAGCTAAAAGGGAGCCATGGCTTGTTGTTACTCTTTATACTAAGTAAAAAGTGTCTATTTTTATCATTTACCCTCCAGTAACAATGCTTTGATATTGTTGCAACTGACCGATATCTGGCGTATTATATACTCAGGTGATGACTGTAGAAGCAATTCCTGTCCAGACGAAGTAAACCAGGACTGCGTTGAAGTAGAGGGTTCATTTGTTTGCAAGTGCGTTCCCGGCTACTATGTGTTGGAGGATGGCAAGGAATGCAAAGGTAAAGATGATGAAGTAAAACAAGTAACATGCTGTTATTGACTTTGTAAATTTTGTTTGTTGTACATGTGTTTTTGTATGGGGGGGGTGTAAAGCTGCATATGAACCTGTTCTGCCCTCCCTTTAACTTTGTGGAAAATGCCAATAAACAAATAAACAAATTTGCATATTTCTCATCAGCAGACGTAGACACTAGACAGAATTAGAGAGTAAGACATGCCGATCCAAATTAATGATATATAGTTCAGGACTTATTTGAGTTTAACAATATACATTATTTTCTGCTTCTAGAATCTATGACGTTAAATGCAGAGGTGACCATCTCCCACATCGGCACCAATGAAGCGGTTTTCACAGAGAACGGTCTGGGTGATCCGGAATCAGAGGAGTTCAGCACAACTGCAGTGGCAGTGGAAACTGCTGTGAGTTACCTGGATAATCGCAAATGTTTTTTTTTTTCAAAGTTTTACTATTTTCTATAATATGGACACGATTCAGAACTTTTACGAAGGGTAATGACTTAACTACGATAGCAACAGTACATGTATCTGGTACATTCGAGTACTATAATTATAGACGCGTAAATTGTTTGGCAGTGGGTTATCTGTTCTACAAGTATGTTTTCTAACTTTTAGCAAATGTGTCCAAATAAGTAATATATACAATCAATGCATAGGCATCATTTAGAAACGGTTGTTTTTTTTTATTTTTACATCCTTAGATAAATGAAATCCTTACAACTAGCGACGTGGAGAATCAGTACAAAGGCTGTAAGGTCACGGGATTTCGATCAGGAAGTGTCATCGTCCTTTTTGGTATCCACCTTTCTGGGGAAGCGACTGTCTCCGCCAGTGAGATCAGAGACATCATGTACGCAGCGATTCAGCTCAACAACAATACCTTAGGTTCCGGTGGATCAATGCTGGTGATACCAGCTTCCATTCAGGTTTCTGAAGGTAAGCACATCTTGTAACAAGTCCATTTTTAAATAAACCATCACATGAATGCTATCGAAGAAGTTGATTTTTCAGGAATTGGTGCGAAATTGTTACAAATTCTTATCATATGAAATTCTAAGGATACATTGAATAATGGACTACGGACTATAGCAGAGTCTCCAAAGGCAATGCTTGTTTACATATATAGTTGCATTGTTATTGGCTTGTTTCCTCGGCGAACATAGTAATTTGGGTGGAAAATCAGACAATCATGTGGGGGCCACCATTTTTGTCCTTCTGTAGATATTGAGGTATGTGTTCTAAATAGAACATTGACGGGGCTTATGACGTTCGAATGGAAATATTCTATTTCTGTTATACAAAATACAAATCGAGTCATATACACTGAAATTCTGCATAATCGGTAGCTCTTGCAAATGTTCCTTACTTGCTGTATTTGTTACTGTCTGTCTATAGCTATCCCCAATGAGGACACGCCATGGTACAGGAACCCTCTCTACCTGGTGCTCCTTTGCGTCGGACTCGCAACGGTGGTCACAGTCGGTTTAGTTGCCGTCTTCATCTGGTTCGCTGGTCGTAAAAACCGCAGCTGTGCCCCTGAACCGCAGTTTGGCGATATCAACCTCCTCCATTTTGAACTGGCTGCGCAAAAGCCATCAGATAAGCTCTACAAGTGATTTGCAAGACAGAGTAAACGCTTGGGAGTATTTGCCTCTGGATGTTTTTGTTTTCAGTGTGTTATTATGTTTGCTTGTATGTTGTTTCGTATTTGCTTGCAACAGAGTGGTAGGAGATGAGATGGGTGTTACTGAAGGGGTATATTGACCTCCCCAACATCTTGAAGAAAGGGACAAAGATTACCTCAAAATTAAAAGCAATCAAGTATGGTTTACAGTTTACGTTTCTGCTATATTCATGCCGGTTTCGAATGAAAGCCATTAAAAATACGCATACAGAACAAGCAAATTCAGTTCAATAAGCAAGACATCCATAATATCAAATAAAACATGCAATTCATAAGTTATAAGCACAAAAAAGAGCCCAAGTAAAATCTTTGATTTGTTCCTTTTTTATCTTTTTATCTAATGACCGATATCACTAGTATCGGGATTTCTAGAAATCGCATTCAAATATGACCGCTTTTGACGTCAGTCAATAGCTTTTTTTAAGTAGTTTGCCGTTACAGCAATTGATGTCAACTATTGATGTAAATATCATAGAACTATAGGAATAAAATTTTATGATTGTTATGGTGTGTTTCTACTACTCATATGTGGTGTTATTTTGTTGTGAACTGCTTTATCTTCAGGCTACAAAAATGTATCATTCGTGAAATACTGTGATGCTTTATTTTCTATTTTGACATGGTAGTATGGACTTTTTAATGGCAAAATCGATCCTTATTTTGATTTGGGATATCCGCAAACTAGGTATGGGTGTTAAGTAACAGTTTCCTTATTTTTATTTGTAATGTTTCCTGGTATAAAACCTATTCATGATCTTGTTCTTGTATTATGACAATCTACATCGACTAGCTTAAGCAATGTCAATGACCAATCTAAAATTGCAATTGAAAGGTTTGCATTTGCGTTTGTAAGCAAATACTAGCAATAATGAAATAAATTTTTGTGTTGTTCATATCAATACGGTATTGCTGATTTGTCAATAACAAGACAAACAATCTTGTTGGATGTTTTTCTTGATCTTGTTTCTCTTCTGTATGAGCAACTCTTAGCATTTTTGACAATGTCGTCTTTTATGTACATCTCTAAACAGCCAAGACTATGACCAGCGACCTTTCGCCTGCTTGTCTGGTAACAAATAGCGTTGCACCTCTGGCAAATGCCTGAAAAAACTGTAATTTTTTTGCTCGTTTAATCCTGGGCATAATTAAAGTTTGAAAGTAAACAAAGTTCTCATAAAACTACGAGCGAAATGGTATTTTTTTAAAAAAAGTGAGATTTAGTTAAATGAATCTTACAAACAACCCTGCAATGTGAAATAAGTATGTCGTGTGTGCATTGACCTAAAACGCATATATACTGCAAGCATGTCCGTACAGGTGCAATTAGGAGCGACCTCCCATTGAATATAACTCACGTTGAGAACCGATTCTGTCTGTAATTCCCATTTTTATGTATGGTGGCGCTGCTGCATGGTAGTTTTATAAAGCATATGTCACAAGTCGGCTTCACCAAGGCCATGTTTCGTGGCCGCGTGTGTACATGTGTGTGTGTGTGTGCGTGCGTGCATGTGTGTGTGTGTGTGTGTATGTGTGTGTGTTTACTATATATTACCAGTCTGGGCTGGGAATGTCTAATCTTAGATTAAGTTTACAATGCTCCGCCAGTGGCGGACGGGAGGTAACGTTACAGATGATATTCTCGCGGAAAATTCCTATAACACAACGCTCTCCAAAGTACACTAAAGAAAAAGACAACATATTTACACGTGTACACAAACATCGATGACTATTGGGGTGTTAAATGATACAGGGTTCCCTTTTGAAGAGTTTGTTTTTGTTTAGAGCAGGCAAGCCAAGATTAGGACGGAAAACCGTTCCGCGTCTCGTTACACTTTCGGGCTAACGGTATGAACGAGCAGAATTGAGCGAAAAGCATTGCAAATCGACATAAATGATGATAGACATTTTTTTCAAAAATTCTTTTGCATACGTATTTCTGAGCTAGGATGTTGCTATTAAGTAGTCGAAAAATTGAGTAGAAAGCAACGTATATTGTAACACTCTTTACTGACGTGGAAAATGCCATATGGCTGTAGCCAATAGTGCGCAGGTCATCTGAGGTAAGCCAATTAGAGCATACAGCTTCTTTTGCCAGTTGAATGTTAATGAAAAAAAAGCACAGTATAATCACAGTCCCTTGTTTAACAGTTTGATGTTATGCATGTGGTGGTACGGTAGAGCGTCAGCTCGGATGTCCTGAGTTTGAATCCTGCCATGATTTTGTTCCCTTGGGAAAGGCACTTTACACGATTTTCCTCACATAAGGCCACAGCAAGTAAATTCTATGGATTACATCCTCCGCAGACTCCAAATCTAATGCGATAGGGCGTAAAAACAAGGCGGGCAAAAAACAAGGTTCCTACATTTTCAACTTTTTCAAATTTACTTAAACCCTGTTAATGTCATCCATAAAAATTATTTTCTGTCGCATAACTCAGGTATACTGTTACCATATATTGTTAATGTTAGAATAGAAAAATAAACGGTGTGGTGGCTGACTTAGTCAAACGCTTTGAAGAGGTCTG